CTCCATTACCTTTGCTTGTTCATGACCCCACAATAATTTGATCCACTCAATATAAATTTACCACGTCATATATGTACCTTTAATCAGATTTGCTGTAAATGACATGCAGGTTTTTAGTCTGCTCTTGTCACGTTATGGCTGTATTTGTTGAATCTTGTGTTGTATTGTTACTAGCCAAACTGTAGGTAAATAGGTAAATACATAATCTGTGAAAATTAAGAAATTTAGGTATGTTGTATAATATGTCTTAAAAATGTAAAGTACTTGTTACTGTTGGGAGAAATGGGGTTAAAAAGTAGTCTTTGCTCAACTGTTGAAGTGATGTRGAACAGAAAAGGTGCAGAGTAAATACAAAGAAAACAGGAAACTTAGGTAAATCACAGTTAAAGTATTACAATGAATTTTAACCCCAAAATATCCTGAATTGTATTACAAAAGTAAATGATTCACTAAATAAATAAGTAGGCAGAGACCATATCCCCCAATGGTAGACCTAAAGTTACATCCTTGTTGGAATGGTCTTTTCAAAATCTGGACCTCATTTAGAAAATTGGACTTTGAGTCAGAAAGCTACCAATTCTCTCAAGAAGAGTAATCAAATATCCAGTCTGAATTACACCAGGAGTTAGATGATGGACACAAAATGTATGTAGTCAGAGGACTGACTAACATGTAAAGAAATAATGGTGGGAGTGGATGTATCTATGATTGTGTAAAGTATGTTTTGAGCCTGTGTGAGTCAGAGAAAAGACACAGTTTGAGGCCCAAAGGATACGTCTGAAGCAGGCAGCAGTCAGATACCTTGATGTCACTGCTCCACACAACGATGCTGATAAGGACGACATCATCTCAGCGACCCGTTTCTTCTGGTGGTTGGTCATCTCTTTCAGTTTCTGAAGCTCCGAGTCAATGGAGGCCAAGCAGCTCTGATGACAACACAACAACACACGTTACAAAGTCATTCTGTATKACTGTACTGAGCAGATTTGGAACCCATTGAGCCTAAACGTCCTTAAAGTCTTTTGGTTCAGCTCCTCGCTGAGAGCTTCAAACTCTTTACTTTTGTCCTCAACTTCCTGACTCTTCTGGTCCTAGTTGACTGCCAGCTCCTCCAAAGCCTGCAGCACCTCCTTCACCTCCTCTTTGGAGGTCCAGGGATCAAACCCAGGACCTTCACTCTGTGAGGTATCAGTTCTAACCACTTTTCTATTGTGCTGGGATCTAACCAGGCTCAGACTGATCACCTCAGTCTCTCTTACTATGGTGATACAACTTTGAAAAGTTTGTCCAACACTAAAGATGGAATAAAAAAAATCTACTGGAAGCCTCTTTTGGACATATGCATACTGTAATGCAAACAATTAAATCATCCATCCATTTCCTGTACACGCTTCTTCCTTTCAGGCTCGCGTGGGTCACTGGTGTCCATATCCAGCAGTCACAGTGCGAGGGGCGGGGTACACCCTGGASAGGTCACAAGTCCATCACAGGGACACACATAGAGACAAACAACCATTCACTCTCTCACACCTACAATTTAGAGTTATCAGTTAACCTAACAGTCATCAATTAACCTAACAGTCATCAGTCAACCTAACAGTCATCAGTTAACCTAACAGTCATCAATTAACCTAACAGTCGTGTTTTCGGTCTGTGGGAGGAAGCCAGAGTGCCCGGAGAAAACATGCAAACTCTACCTAGAAAGGTCCCCAGGCCAGGATTTGAACCAGTGACCTTCTTGCTGAGAAGCTTCAGCTCTACCAACTGAGCCACCGCCCAAAAATTTGATCAAATCTCCCTAAAGCCCCAAATTGTGGAGCGCTCTGCCTTTGCACATTGAAGAGGCCCTTCACTGCCCATTTTTAAAACCCCACTGAAAACTCATTTTTACTCATTGGCCTTCAACACAATTGAGGTTTGATTTGACCCAACTCTTTTGTATTGTTGTGTGAGGATCTGTGTCTTGTCTGCTGTCTCCCTCTTGTGTCCAATTCATGTCATTACTTCTCATCTCTCCTCAGTCTGTTTTCTGTCATTCTCCCTGCTTTATCACTCTCACCTGTCTGCTCTTTGTAATCADTTATCCTCAGCTGTTGTCCATCATCCTCTCTCAACTCAATTTCAATTCAGTTTATTTATATAGCGCCAAATCATGACATAGGTTGTCTCAGGGCACTGTACATGAAAAAGAACAATCTAAAGAAGAAGCCAGCAGATTGTGTCGAATCACTTCATCACAGKCTCCCATCCTGAGCAAACGGTGGAGAGGAAAAACTCCCTGCTAATCAGGAAGAAACCTCCAGTAGAACCAGGCTCAGGACAGGAGACCATCTGCCTCGACTGGCTGGTTCTCCAGTCTCAGTGCAGCGCGGCTTGACGGCCACGTTGCCCTGCTGGCTCGCTCCGTCCCAAAGTGCCGAGGACCTGGAGGTACGCTGGTACCATGGCAGGGATCAGTACGACACCCCCGTCATGCTCTACAAGTCCAAAATGTTTGATCAAGAATCCCMGAAAGCTTCGTACGCTGGCCGATTCGATTTCGGTTTTAAGGACCCCACGTCCGGAGGGCTGAGTTCAGGMGACGTGAGCTTGAAGCTGAAGAACGTTACAATTGAGGACGTTGGGAACTACACGTGTCTCGTCAGCAGCTTCAAAGAGTTTGAGAGCTCAAGCGTGAGTCTGCATGTGACAGGTGGGTATGATGATGACGGAATGAAATTTGTAATATTGTATGTTGGGTTCCACAAGGTTCTGTTCTGGTACCAAAGTAGTTTCTTTTATATATTAATGACTTGGTAAATTTGTCGGGGTTGTTTAAATGTGTTTTATTTGCAGACGACACTACATTTTTTTGCCTGGGTAAGAACATATAACAGATGTTGGAAATGATGGAAATAGAATTTGTAAAAGTACAAAATTGGTTTAATCATAATACGTTATCATTAAATTTGGATAAAACAAATTCATGATATTTAGTAATAGAAAGAAAACAACTGATTTCCATTTCGAGTGGATGGTGTTGAAATTTGCAGAGTCAGTGAGGTGAAGTTTTTGGGAGTCATCATTGACGAAAAACTGATATGGAGAACTCATGTAAATTACTTAAGAACAAAAATGGCAAAAGCTATAGCAGTACTGTATAAAGTTGAGTTATTTAATGATAGATCACTATTTACACTATGTAATGCAATAATTCTTCCACATATGATTTATTGTATAGAAGTCTGGGGAAATGCATGTAAAACAATTACTAATCCTATTTTTATTTTACAAAAAAGAGACATAAGAATTATCACAAGAAAGCATTATATCACCCGTCTAATACATTGTTTCATCAGTTAAAATCATTAAAATTTTATGAGTTGGTTGAATATCATATTCTGCAAGCTATGTATAAAGCTCATTAAAATGTGTTACCTTCAAACATCCAATCTAATTTTGTTAAGAGGGAAAAAGCTGCTATAATTTGAAGGGACTACAAATGTTTATTAAACCAAAAATTCGAAGAAATTTCAAGGACAGATGCACTTCAGTCAAAGGTATAAGACTATGGAATAATCTGGAAAATGATTATAAAAGCATTGGATCAATTAATTCCTTTAAAAAATAATCAAAACAAAATTGTTAAAGAAATATGAAATTGTTTAATTTGTATGAGTTACTGTTTGCGGAGTAGATTTTTGGTTTTGTTTGGATTATTATTGTTTGAAATTAATATAATTTTTTGTTGTAAATAGGAGCAGATATCAAGAATTTYTTTCTTTTTCTGCTGCCTTTCATTTTATTTGATTTGCATTGTTTTGTTGTATGTAATATGTTTTTTATAATGGAATGAATAAATACATAAATGAATAAATAGAATGAATTCTTTCAGAGGACCTTTTGGATCAAATTACCTTCTTTCTTCCATTGCAGAAATGGGAAGCCCCCCTATCCTGTCTGTTGTGTGGGAAAAAGACAACATGTTGAACTTGAGCTGTGAATCTAAAGGCTGGTACCCTCAGCCTGAGCTGCGCTGGTCAGACAGGAATGTTAAAGAACTCGCCACTAATAATCTGGTGAATGCCAAAGACCCCGCCGGTCTTTTTTCAGTCCACAGCTGGCGTCATGTCCCCAACTTGTTTGACATGTCCTGCTCTGTCGGTCTCTCTAAAAAAGAGACAAAGACAGCCAGGATACGCCTGGGAAGTCCTCCGAGATCACTGCAAGAAGGTAAAACATGTTACCATCATACAAGATATGTGTTTCTCTTTATGCAAGAGTAAACAGTCCTGCTTTTCATTTAGAGTCGGGTTCCTCCTCAGCTGGATGGGTGGCGTTCGGKATACATCTGGTAGCGTTAGCTGCAATAGCTGTAGCTGCAGCGCTATACTTCAAAAGAAGAGGTAAGTGTTTGATTTTAAGCCTGGTGACATTTTCATTGTGCCTGTTGTCAGACTGCTTGCAAACTTTGAATTAAATAAATAATCTTTTCACATTTCAGCTCAGTCCAAACGCGAAGGTGACCAAACTGACAGTATGAAAAACTCATTAAATTACTTATTTATTACCTTTTTGTTCTTAATTATGTGTCAAGCTAAGAGACAGTGCTACAGGTTTCATGTAAAATTATTTAATACAGTTTTGGGACAAAAAGAAAAAGGTTTACACCTGTAAGAGTGACTCCACCCTCTAATCAGTCAGTGACTGACAGAYATCTGATGTCGTGTTTTCAGGCCAGCACTTGGAACCASAGCCAGGCATGTTCTGAAAAAGGGACTGGTTCCATAGATCAGAAGGGAATTCATGATAAATAAACAGAAGTCTAAATATATCAGAAAACCAATTGAATCTCTTCTAAAAAAAACTATTTATGTCTCTCTCCAATAAGCTCCAGTAGCACTCAGCAGGCCTAAGTAATATGACCTTTGTCTTATCTGAATATAAAAACAGAGCCCAGAYTGTCCCAGGCTGCTCTAAGACAGACTGGACACAAGAATAACACAAACCTCTCTGCCCATATAATGATTCAACCTTTTAACATTTGTCTCTTCCTGGTTACACCCCTGAAGGTGGGAACTTTTACGTCAGATGTAAGAATGTAACCAATCAAAAAAAAAAGTATATATTTTTTTACTTAATATGAAAATTGTTTCTTATATTAATGGTAAACTTTAAATTTATGATTAAATGCGACAAAATAAATTTAAAATTTGCAAGATAATAATAATTGTCCTGCCCCTGAGCTGTTGGCTTTAAGT